TTTAGAGTATAGATACCCAGTGTAAGAAAAATATAAGCAGATTGCAGTCTATTCAAATGCATAGAAATTTAATTGTTTCAAATTAATCAGTCAAAATGTGAAATTCTTTACTTTGTTTTAATTAACTTTTAATTAACAGTTTGATTTTTTCTTCTTTTTAAAGTTTTGTTCTTGTACAATCTCTTTTTCCCAGAATTCATTTTGTATTTCTCAGCTCAGGGGAAAGAGGGAGCAATTTAGCCAAATGTGACTGAATTACACACAACATTCCGCACCAGCTTAGAAACCGAAGCAGAACTAAATAATTATTCATTAAAGATTCTGAGATAAAGATCAGTGAAACATAATCTTTTGGGTAGAATATTGAGAAGCAAAATAATCATAGAAAATGGCAAAATAATTAGTTTAAACAACTGGCTCAAAGAATGAAACAGAGTATGAAAATATATTGCTGTTAAAATGAAATCCAGCACAGAGAAAGTTTTGCTGAATGTATCCATGTCAAAATACCCCGATTTCATTCCATCCAATTAAATTCTTCCATGTTAAGTAATATCCTCAGCAAAAAAGCTTGTGGATGAAGGATTTTATAAAGCATTGTAGTGGGGCTGAATACAAGCTAAGCTGGAATTATTTTCCAAATCAAAAGCTACAGTCTTTGGAACTGATGTTCTCATCTTGTCATTGAAATGTCAAGTGAGCAAAAAAGAAAAAGAAAACCAACAAAGCACATTGGAAATACACCCCAGGGGGATTATTAAGACTGATTGGGCACAATTAGAAATTAATGCATGGCAAGAGCTGAATGACAAATTGCCAAGTACAGTACTGTATGTACTGTACAAGAAGGAGGAGAGTGTAATTTCATGAATGTAAATACAGTACATGTAAAGTTTGCAAACCTCTGCCAGCAAACCATCCTCTATGTTATATTCGTCTGAGGTAATCAATATTTATTTTATAGAAATTGATGCTTTGTGCTGAATTAATCAATTTTTATGTAACTCTAATTTGTCCAACTAATTTTAACTGTCGTGTACTTATCTATTGTGAAAATGATATACAGTATACTAGTCAGCTGAAAATTCAAGATTTTTACAAGGTACTGTTTAAATATTTTTGAGGAAAAATAAATAATTCCCTGGTCACCCTCCCTTTTAAATCATTACTTAAAAATGGATGAACTGTCTTTCATCATTACATTATTTGTGGGTTAACATGATCTATGATTTTTTTAAAATCCATCAAATTTCAGACTTTTTCATATTCATGATGAATTCTTAAGCAGCTATAAACTATAAAATGTTCTCAGTTTCTCAGTAATTCATATATGTGGGTAAGTGCTTCTGTATTTGGCAGCAACATCATTACTTCATAGATTAATACCGTCAGATTTCTGAAGCTAAGCAAAGCCTTATCAGTCCTGTCAGCCTTCCTTCAAGAAAAGGAAAAACAGTTTGATGGTGTAAGTGGTTGTTGGTGTTGTTGACCAGTAGTTGGCACTCTTCCACCCGGATTAGAATTTCTAAACCAATGCCCCTGTGTGGGACATTCATTCTGTAGGAAGTTTTGTTCTCAGGATAAACTGCCAAACCAAATCTGGAATACTTCATCATTAATGATCTCAGAAATTTCTCTCTTCGTCTAAATAATATGGGTCACCTAAAATTACCCTACAACTCATATGATAATATATATTTAAAATTTGCTAACACTTATATAGCGCTTTTCTGGACACTCCACTCAAAGCACTTTACAAGTAATGGGGACTCCTCTCCAACACCACCAATGTGTAGCATGCACCTGGATGATGTGACAGCAGCCATAGTACACCAGTACGGTCACCACACACCAGCTATCAGTGGGGAGGAGAACAGAGTGATGAAGCCAATTCATAGTGAGCGCCCAATGCTGACCCCTGTAATATCTCTTCCAGCAACAACCTTAGTTTTTCCCCAGAGGTCTCCCATCCAGGTACTGACCAAGCTCATACCTGCTTAGCTTTAGTGGGTTGCCAGTTATGAGTTGCACAGTGATATGGCTGCTGGCAATAAATAATAATATAGCATTTAAATTCTTACCTTTCGGTCTGATCTGCTGTATAGAGAGGTTATTATGGAGTTACATAATAGCTGCCACACAGCACAGCCCAGGTGGGTGATGCAATTTAGTGGTGGATGAAGTGGGTCCTCCTATATGTAAAGTGCTCTGTGATGAAAAGGGCTATATAAATGCAATTAATTATTATTTTGGCAAAGCTTTCCATTGCTGATGAACTCCACACCCCTGCAAGTCAGCCTAATGAAAATAATCATTGCTTATTGCTGTGCAACTGTTTCAGTTTGCATTAACTGTCAATTTGCAGAATTTTGTTTTCTTTCCAGCAATACAATGAAAAGAGGCTGAAAAAGTTTCTGTTCCAAACAGAATACACAGTGCATTAGAGGCGACCTCGTTTTGCATTGTCCTTATGTGATGACCACAGCTCACTGGAGATGTTTAAATTGAATCTGCTTCTCAAATTTAAGTGCAGCCTTTAAATCCCAAAGACATTTTCCATTTATTTTGATTAGGCCTGTATTTAAAAGATAAGCCCCTCTTGTAATGGCATTGGATAGAAACAGAATGAAGTCTGTTTGATGATAATTATAAACTAGAAAAATATCTGCTTGTCAATTAATTAATGCTTCTGAGTTTATGTTCACTTTTCATTTAATGTTCTTGGCTCTCAGTGGGCGAATACCCTGGTGCGCTATTGTAATATCTAAGCAGCAGAACCTGCTGGCAGGGTAGAAGAGTTTCAAATGAATGGCTTTCTATTTTCATCTCCCACCTTAATTTAAAGCATGATCTGTGCAGAGCTACTGGATAAAAACCTAAAAAGATTAAATGTTTCTTTTTTATATGCATTAGTGCGTTTGCTCAACTTTCTTATCATTAACTGCTTTAAAAAGTGTTTGGGAATAGATGGTAGTTGAAAAGATGCTTCTTCTGCATTAAAATAGTGCTAAACAGCTGCACCTGTAATCTTTTGCCTGCCTTACTTAACTTAAGTTAAGTTGCAGAATAAAACAAAAAAAAACTATTTTAAGAAATCTGAGAAAAAAATTGTTATACATGCAGGATATGTGGACGTCAGTATGGAAGTATTAATTCACACCAAACTCACAATCAAACTGTCAGCACCAATTAAAGAAAGAAATCTCAGCAACAAATCCACTTATGTTAATAATTCAGTACAAGGTAAACTATTCATAGTTGCTATTTCTTGTAATTTGGGTAATTTACATGTTATAAGCCTATACTATTATATACTGTTAGTGTATAAGCCTATTAATGTTTTCTCTTACTTTCTATCCTGAAAATAATGAAAAATCATTATGTGTGTTTCCCTTTTATTGGACATGTGATATAGATTGGGATTTTCAGACAATTCAAAAAATGCATTTTAATCAAGCTCCCACCACAAACCAATTTACTTTTAAATTAGTTTTACTAATGTCTTTTGATTAATTTAGAAAATTATTTACCACAGTTGGCTATCCCATCTTCTCCTCTCCAGGTATACATTTTGTGGAGAATGACAGTTTTGTGTTTATGGGTCTGTTTCATTATAAATGGTTATTTACATCTGTTTTCTTAATGAACAGGCTGGACTGTACTCAGAACTAGTAAAAATTACAGGATGTTTCTTATGCCTCTTTTACATGGTAGTTTGCATCAAGAATAGGTGGTAATTTTAAATGAAATGAAAACGCCCTAAAGCTGTAATAGGGGGGGGGGGTATTTTTCATTTGTAAACAATAAAACAACTAAACTAAGTGAATAACTAAAGTAAGGTGGTTGAATAAGGAAGTCTGGACCAATTACAAACTCCACCAAATGTTTTTAGAGCTTTAAGAAAAAAATAAAAACACCTAAAATAAAAAACTGAAGTCATTTTTTCTATGACTATAAAGTTATTGTAGATTTGTTTGTTTTTGATTTTTTAAAGGATTACATAGAGGCATGAATAAATGTGACCCTTGTGTTTTATGGATGTAAATTATAAAGATTTGTGTGCAAAGCACTGCTCTGTGCACTGCTATAAAGATTACAGGATGATTTTCTTTTTCAGAAGGATGCATTATCCAACCTGTAAATCTTTCTGTTTTATTTTTTGTTCCAATTTCTTTTGGAGTATGAACTTTGGATTCTATTTCTATGCATTCTATTTACATACATATTATTAGGGACTTTTTTCAAAATGTGTTTTTAGAGATGCCAGATTCCCTTTATATATACAGTATTTATGTACCTTTTCCCAAATCTTGACTTTATTGCAACCAAGCCTTTAATAATAATAATGTATGCATTATGTAATAATCACACATCATACTGTATTTACATAGTGTATGACTAAAAAGGGTGCAACTGATATTTTTTAGGATAACTTGTTGCCAAGTGCAAAATACTAAGAGGCAACTTTATCAGTTGGAAAATAAAATATTGTAAAGTGCAGTTCATCCCATTAAACCTGACAATTATAGGGTTATTTGCTGTGTTTTGAACAGTCCTTCTGGGAACAATCTACATTCTTAATAGTTGTGAAAGCACTGTGTTCAGGATTGTATGTTCAGTATGATATAAATTCGATTGTTATTAAAGGAAACAGAAATATGTACATTTTCCATGAATGATTAAAGGATTTGAAATGTAATTGCTGTAACTTTTCCTATGTATGATTAAAAGTGATTTTATTATTTTTTTACCTTCGATGAGATTTTTGTTTATAAAGAACAAATCTAAATTTGATGTCACACTGTTGTTTTACATCCTAAGCAACTACTATAATGTGTTTTTGATAAGGTAGTATAACAATATTATGAGTGTTCTGGGTCTTAATCTATACATTTAGTATATATGATATATGGGAACTATAACTTTAAAACTATATTATATTAAAATCTCTCATAACATACATAATCTTGACCTTGTTGTATTTTATTTTGTGGTTTTAGATCAAAGACAGGCCTTCCAAACTGGATAATGACCCACTTGTCCAAGCTGCAATACGTGGTAAGTCAAGATGAAAAGCAGTCTTTACCAGATGATCCTCTGCGGTTTATCTGGGGTTTATGTTCAGATAAACTGGTTCCTTCTTTACATTCAACGTTTTTTCTTTTCTAAAGTTATCAGCTTGAAAAATATATATCATATGATATTAAAATATGCAACATCCTACAGTACCTTGCTATTTGGACTTTTTGTTGTTAATTGTATGAAAATTGTCATCTAAAACACCTCTATAAAGGCACGCTCCAATATGCCAAATAAACATCTTTAGTGCAGCCTTTTAGTCTTTTAGTGTACTTCAGAATGCACACCGACAGTCTGTCTGGTTCTTTCCCAATCTGTTGTCAGAATTCACTGAAAAAACACAAAGTGACAAAAATGTGGTCTGCCAATACCATTTTAGTAGTTGAGGGGAAAGAGAAAAGACCAATTAAAAATTAATTTCCAAAACTGCATTGAAAGCTGGAAAGGTAAAAAATGTACAAGTTCAAACTTCAGCTTTTTTTTAATAAAGACAACTTCAGTGATATACTGTATACTGATCCCTTTGAAAGAAACGACCACTGTGGAAGATCTGTTTTTATGTTTAGAGGTTCAAGTGTCTGGCGTAGAAAATTCTTCAGAGTGGAATTAACCTCCACCCTCCACTTGTGCCCTTGTAGATTTCACACTGACAGCTCCACACTGCAACCTGAACTATACATGTAGACTTGCTTCTTGTAGCAGCAACATTGTGAAGACAGGAATTTCACAAAATCCCTTAATATTTTAACTAGTGATTTCCTGTGCTTATTTAATATATCAGGACTTTTAAAAAATAAATCCCTGGTTTCACACTGATGCAGTAAAATAAGTAAAAAGCTAATGGTGATACAATGACTCTATATTTTGACTCCACAACTTAGCTGCAGGTGTCCGCTTCCTTCAATTAAAAAGAAAATACACAGTTAGTTGCCTTTAGTATTTCAGCAGCAAATTGGAATACAGAATTTTTGTGCTACTGTATATTTGAGGCAGTGTTTAATGTTTCTTTCTTTGTCTTAATCTTACTGTATAGGCAAGGTTCTTTGATCAGCTGGTTTAGGATACTAAATTCAGTATTAATGCATGATTCTGATGCACTTTATTTTGAACTAAGTGCTTGGTTATAAGTAACAAGTTATATAATTTAGCAGTTTTCTGTGCTTTTGACTACATAGTAGTACTGCCCTCTAGTGACCCACAGGAGCCCTTTCCCCCTGGTCTTTTTCTGCTTTTAAAAAAGATAATTAAGCTAAAACAAATACACATTAATATTATACATAAACATAATGTTTCCAGATAATAGCAGGAAAATAACAACATTGTAACCACGTAATAGCAATTACAGATTGACACATGGCATTGACAATTATTTCTAAATCATAAATTGGCCATGCAAATTATATGAACCAAAGAGAAATAATTAGTGTTTTGCAAACATACAGACCCTTGCACAGTTTTCACATTTTGTTATTTTAAATCTTACAGTCATGACACTTTGAAGTAGGACTATATAAATATAAATATTAAATTTGCTCATACACAACCTACTCTACACACTCAAAACAAAAAAGCATAAAGAAGTAGATCAGATTAAACTAGAAAAGTTGTGATTGCATAACTATTCAAATCCTTTAAAATTTATGTGCACAAAATTACCTTAATGAGCCACACAGTGATAGAGTGACCTCTGTGTGCATTAATTGTGATTCACATGATTTCAGAATAAATATACACAGTACTTGTACTGTATACTGTATGTAACTTTCTTTTGTCAGGTAGTGAATTTCAAGCAAATATGTAACCATAAAGACCAATGAACTTTCAAAACAACTTGAGTATAAAGGTGTTTAAAGGAACAGATCGGGGATCAGTATTAAAAGATTTCAAAGCCCTTTAATATATCTTTGAACATGGTGATGTCAATCTTTAAGAAGTGGAAGGCACCAGACATTATATCATATCTAGATCACTACACTGTCCCTGCAGACTGAGCAGTCAGGCAAGGGTGGAATTGGTTAGAGAACCCACTTTGAGGTCTATCACAACTCTTGTTAGAGTGTTTAGTAACAGGAACTGAATTAAAACATCTTGAATTCTGTGTGGGGTTTGCAATAAAGCACTTAACCGATACTGCAAGCATCTGTGAAAAGTTTTTGTGGTCAGGCAAGACAAAATTGAAACTTATTTTTTGGTCTAAATGGTAAGAATTACATCTGATGCAAACCTAACATAGTGTATCTCTCACTTAACATAATCTGTTCTGTCTAGCATGGTGAAAAGCATTATAGTATTTTACTTCTCATCAGTATGGACTGGGAAGCTTGTGAAGAGTGTTGGGAATATAGATGAAGCAAGATACTGGTAAATCTTAAAGAAAGGCCTGCTTCAGATCTAAAACTGGTTCACTTTAAGGGTAGGACAGCGATCCAAAGTTTCACTCAAGTAGCTTAAAAATAAGAAATTGGTTGTCCTTGGGTAGACAGTCAAATTCTGACTTGATTCTTATAACATACAGTATACCATATGTATCTTTTCACTGAAGCTTTTCATGTGTAATTGACCTATTCTCCATTTTCTCAGTCAATTTCTTATGCTTATATTCCAATGTTGCAATGTTGTTATGTGCTTCTGTTGTGTATTATATGTGTGCTGTTACTATGATTTGTATGTGTTGAAAAAGACTCATACAGTAAATGCAATTCAGTTATATGAATGATGACCGGACTAACAAAACATCTGTTGTTAATTGATTGCTTCTCAGAAATTGAGGAACAGTTTTAAAGCAGGTTACACAACATGAAGGAAACAATTAGGATCTTTGCTTTTCCAATGTCTTATATTCCAGACTCATGCCAGCTCTAGAGGAGAGTTCTAGAAAGCAACACGTCACCACTGTTAAATATACTCAAATAAACTCTTTATGGGATTTGAACAGACGAGGAATTTAGATTTAAAGAGACTTGGTCTCATAAAGTGAATCCCAGTCTTTACTTGAGAGTATTTTAAAAATGTATGAAAACCATTCCATGAAGACTAAAGATAACCTAAAGAATTTGTTAAGAATGAATAATTGGTATTCTTCAGACTGTGAGAGGTAACGTAAGCTACAATATTTATTTTGCTAGCAATTTCTAAAACACTTCTAGCAGCTCACATTCAAAGAAGAAATTTGTCATTTTTATGGGCTATACCAACACAGGCATGTCTTTTTTCAGTATTTCTAGCTTGACAAGTCCTGCAATGCTGTCTGTTTCTAACAAGGTTTCTTTCCTCCTTCCCTGCTATAGCCTAGATACAGTCTGAAACCTTTTTCCTCCAAACTGGTATTATAAGGCTCTCAATTAGCATGGAGGAGTGGCTAATTCCACACAGATCCTATCCTTACAACTCATTTCCCTCAGATGGAATTCCACTCCCTCAGAGTGAGGCTGTTCCTTCAAACCAGCTGTGCCTCATTCTACAGGTTTTCCCAATTCACAAGCAGCCATCTTGTCTCGAGGCCATATCATTGGTACTGAATATTAAGACAAGATGGTGGCATTCTCACAAAAATGACTTCTTTCTTCCTCTCAAAAATTAAGGCTGCTTCCATCTGCATGAAAGAACAGCCCTACCTTAAAAAAACAGGCCCCTTTGGCATTAAACCTAGGTAGCTGCATTACATTGTAGTAGAAGTATTAGAGCTTGGAAGCTAAGAAAGGCTGAGCTTGGTCAGTATTCTGCCTTCAATTTATAGTTTTAGCAATTTTGCACTGCCTGCTGGTCATTTGTACTTAATGTTAGACTGACATGCTTAGTGTATGTTCAATAAAACATTGAAGCTTGGATTCCTGACTCAGATGTAATTTTTGAAGGGAGTTTGGCTGGCTGTCAAATTGTGACACACTAAGAGGACAGTACAGTCAGAACTCCGAAGAAATCCAGGTTGTAGCTGCTTGTAGTACTCTTCCATCTGGACCAGACATTCCAGTCAGGGATTCTTTGAACAACTGTATATAAAGGCAAATTACTTTTTATTGTTAAACAAAATGAGCTGTGAAAAGATAAACAACACAAAACACGCCTGTTTAATAAATATTCCAAGTGCAATTTCCAAGTTCTGTCACCTCATAATTTGTGCAATAGTTCTTTCACTGATATTACTGATATCCTAACCATTAATTTACTTCCCCTTGTCTGTCAGCTGCAGTTTGTACAGTACATCTACCTAACAGTTACAATAGTCGATACCTGCTAAAAGTATAAAAAGTATAATTCTACCATACTTAATCATACATGTGAAGAAAAAAATCAATGGTAATTTATTTTGATACTTTTTAACATTGCATTATTTAAATTTAAATACAGTTTTTAACTGTATATTTCTGTACATTTTAATCTCACAACAGAAAATCCTCTTTATTAATATATATAGTATATTATAACAGTGCAGTTTCCATGTGTAAAAGGACAGTTTAAATTTATTATGGAAATGTTATACAGTAGCTGTGTGATGTTAGAAAATTTAATGTATGAAAGGTTTTAATCAGAAATAGGCACTGTAGTGGCTACTACAGCTGTCACTATGGGGAATTAAGAAAGACACCTACAGATGCACTAACTGCATGCTTTAATTAAGAGAAAAAAACAGAAGCTGTAATCTGAACACAGACAATTCTTGAGAAAACTCAAATATGCAAATATGATACATGGTTTATATGTAACTATATGTTCCATCATATCTGTGTAATGTTTACAGCATTCTGACTTATAATCAGTAAATCAGTAATGAGTGTTAAATTATATTAAGACAATGTCTGCTTTTCTGTCTTAATGTTAACCTGTTTTACTGATTGTCATAGTGCTCTTTTATTGTCTACTCTGCTGAAGATACAGTATGTTTAAGTGAGGAAGCATTGATGTGTTTAACAGTGATTTAGGGGCTTTCACAGTTAAAAAATATCAATGGAATCAATACTTAGAACCAATTAATGGAGGTA